CCAGTGGTGGTGGTGGAGGCTACGACCAGTGGTGGTGGTGGTGACCAGTGGTGGTGGTGGCTACGACCAGTGGTGGTGGTGGAGGCTACGACCAGTGGTGGTGGTGGTGGCTACGACCAGTGGTGGTGGTGGTGGTGGCTACGACCAGTGGTGGTGGTGGAGGCTACGACCAGTGGGTGGTGGTGGTGGTGAACCAGTGGTGGTGGTGGTGGGACCAGTGGTGGTGGTACGACCAGTGGTGGTGGTGGAGGCTACGACCAGTGGTGGTGGTGGAGGCTACGACCAGTGGTGGTGGTGGTGGCTACGACCAGTGGTGGTGGTGGGGGCTACGACCAGTGGTGGTGGTGGAGTGGTGGTGGTGGTGGGGTACGACCAGTGGTGGTGGTGGAGGCTACGACCAGTGGTGGTGGTGGAGGTGACCAGTGGTGGTGGTGGTGGTGGACCAGTGGTGGTGGTGGGTGCTACGACCAGTGGTGGTGGTGGAGGCTACGACCAGTGGTGGTGGTGGTGGTGGACCAGTGGGTGGTGGTGGTGGTACGACCAGTGGTGGTGGTGGTGGCTACGACCAGTGGTGGTGGTGGTGGTGGCTACGACCAGTGGTGGTGGTGGGGGCTACGACCAGTGGGTGGTGGTGGAGGCTACGACCAGTGGTGGTGGTGGCTACGACCAGTGGTGGTGGTGGAGGCTACGACCAGTGGTGGTGGTGGGGGCTACGACCAGTGGTGGTGGTGGAGGCTACGACCAGTGGTGGTGGTGGTGGTGGCTACGACCAGTGGTGGTGGTGGTGGCTACGACCAGTGGTGGTGGTGGTGGCTACGACCAGTGACCAGTGGTGGTGGTGGTGGCTACGACCAGTGGTGGTGGTGGAGGGACCAGTGGTGGTGGTGGTGGCTACGACCAGTGGTGGTGGTGGAGGCTACGACCAGTGGTGGTGGTGGAGGCTACGACCAGTGGTGGTGGTGGGGGCTACGACCAGTGGTGGTGGTGGAGGCTACGACCAGTGGTGGTGGTGGGGGCTACGACCAGTGGTGGTGGTGGAGGCTACGACCAGTGGTGGTGGTGGCTACGACCAGTGGTGGTGGTGGAGGCTACGACCAGTGGTGGTGGTGGGGCTACGACCAGTGATGGTGGTGGTGGCTACGACCAGTGGTGGTGGTGGTGGCTACGACCAGTGGTGGTGGTGGTGGGGGCTACGACCAGTGGTGGTGGTGGTGGCTACGACCGGTGGTGGTGGTGGTGGCTACGACCAGTGGTGGTGGTGGTGGCTACGACCAGTGGTGGTGGTGGTGGCTACGACCAGTAGTGGTGGTGGAGGCTACGACCAGTGGTGGTGGTGGTGCTGCTACGACCAGTGGTGGTGGTGGGGGCTACGACCAGTGGTGGTGGTGGAGGCTACGACCAGTGGTGGTGGTGGGGGCTACGACCAGTGGTGGTGGTGGGGGCTACGACCAGTGGTGGTGGTGGAGGCTACGACCAGTGGTGGTGGTGGCTACGACCAGTGGTGGTGGTGGAGGCTACGACCAGTGGTGGTGGGGGGGGCTACGACCAGTGGTGGTGGTGGGGGCTACGACCAGTGGTGGTGGTGGTGGCTACGACCAGTGGTGGTGGTGGAGGCTACGACCAGTGGTGGTGGTGGAGGCTACGACCAGTGGTGGTGGTGGTGGCTACGACCAGTGGTGGTGGTGGAGGCTACGACCAGTGGTGGTGGTGGTGGCTACGACCAGTGGTGGTGGTGGAGGCTACGACCAGTGGTGGTGGTGGAGGCTACGACCAGTGGTGGTGGTGGGGGCTACGACCAGTGGTGGTGGTGGAGGCTACGACCAGTGGTGGTGGTGGTGGGGGATACGACCAGTGGTGGTGGTGGAGGCTACGACCAGTGGTGGTGGTGGTAGTGGCTACGACCAGTGGTGGTGGTGGAGGCTACGACCAGTGGTGGTGGTGGTGGTGGTGGCTACGACCAGTGGTGGTGAAGGCTACGACCAGTGGTGGTGGTGGCTATGACCAGTGGTGGTGGTGGAGGCTACGACCAGTGGTGGTGGTGGTGGTGGCTACGACCAGTGGTGGTGGTGGAGGCTACGACCAGTGGTGGTGGTGGAGGCTACGACCAGTGGTGGTGGTGGGGGCTACGACCAGTGGTGGTGGTGGAGGCTACGACCAGTGGTGGTGGTGGAGGCTACGACCAGTGGTGGTGGTGGAGGCTACGACCAGTGGTGGTGGTGGTGGCTACGACCAGTGGTGGTGGTGGGGGCTACGACCAGTGGTGGTGGTGGAGGGTACGACCAGTGGTGGTGGAGGCTACGACCAGTGGTGGTGGTGGCTATGACCAGTGGTGGTGGTGGAGGCTACGACCAGTGGTGGTGGTGGTGGTGGCTACGACCAGTGGTGGTGGTGGAGGCTACGACCAGTGGTGGTGGTGGGGGCTACGACCAGTGGTGGTGGTGGGGGCTACGACCAGTGGTGGTGGTGGAGGCTACGACCAGTGGTGGTGGTGGGGGCTACGACCAGTGGTGGTGGTGGAGGCTACGACCAGTGGTGGTGGTGGTGGTGGCTACGACCAGTGGTGGTGGTGGAGGCTACGACCAGTGGTGGTGGTGGGGGCTACGACCAGTGGTGGTGGTGGAGGCTACGACCAGTGGTGGTGGTGGGGGCTACGACCAGTGGTGGTGGTGGAGGCTACGACCAGTGGTGGTGGTGGCTACGACCAGTGGTGGTGGTGGAGGCTACGACCAGTGGTGGTGGTGGGGGCTACGACCAGTGATGGTGGTGGTGGCTACGACCAGTGGTGGTGGTGGTGGCTACGACCAGTGGTGGTGGTGGTGGGGGCTACGACCAGTGGTGGTGGTGGTGGCTACGACCAGTGGTGGTGGTGGTGGCTACGACCAGTGGTGGTGGTGGTGGCTACGACCAGTGGTGGTGGTGGTGGCTACGACCAGTAGTGGTGGTGGAGGCTACGACCAGTGGTGGTGGTGGGGGCTACGACCAGTGGTGGTGGTGGGGGCTACGACCAGTGGTGGTGGTGGAGGCTACGACCAGTGGTGGTGGTGGGGGCTACGACCAGTGGTGGTGGTGGTGGCTACGACCAGTGGTGGTGGTGGTGGCTACGACCAGTGGTGGTGGTGGGGGCTACGACCAGTGGTGGTGGTGGAGGCTACGACCAGTGGTGGTGGTGGGGGCTACGACCAGTGGTGGTGGTGGTGGCTACGACCAGTGTTGATGGTGGTGGCTACGACCAGTGGTGGTGGTGGTGGCTACGACCAGTGGTGGTGGTGGTGGCTACGACCAGTGGTGGTGGTGGCTACGACCAGTGGTGGTGGTGGTGGCCACGACCAGTGGTGGTGGTGGTGGCTACGACCAGTGGTGGTGGTGGAGGCTACGACCAGTGGTGGTGGTGGGGGCTACGACCAGTGGTGGTGGTGGGGGCTACGACCAGTGGTGGTGGTGGAGGCTACGACCAGTGGTGGTGGTGGGGGCTACGACCAGTGGTGGTGGTGGTGGCTACGACCAATGGTGGTGGTGGTGGCTACGACCAGTGGTGGTGGTGGAGGCTACGACCAGTGGTGGTGGTGGTGGCTACGACCAGTGGTGGTGGTGGTGGCTACGACCAGTGGTGGTGGTGGTGGCTACGACCAGTGGTGGTGGTGGCTACGACCAGTGGTGGTGGTGGAGACTACGACCAGTGGTGGTGGTGGTGGCTACGACCAGTGGTGGTGGAGGTGGCTACGACCAGTGGTGGTGGTGGTGGCTACGACCAGTAGTGGTGGTGGTGGCTACGACCAGTGGTGGTGGTGGCTACGAGCTACACTCTAGTCAGCTTGTTCCATGTTTACCATTAATCCTTATAGTCTTGGCAAACAAACTTAATGGTACATCTTGAGTGTTGTTGCACACACCCTGAGAGGTGACTTCTTGAAGTGCTGGCGAACTGGTAAGGTGTTCAAAACACTTTTTCCTGTGTAGGCTGAATCAGCTGGGAACAGAACCACACCAGACTCTCCCACAACAGTGCAAAGGATCCCTCCCCAGATTCGGGGCGTGACAAAAGCTTGTATATATATAGCCCTGTGTGAGAGTTAGGAGCTAGAGAGTGCTGGAGGATAGAGAGGTAGTGTAGGCCACAGGACCTCAAGCGGGCCTCAGGAGACAGAGTGACTTCACCCAAGTCGTTGAGCAGGACCCAGAAGGTAATATTTATAAAAATATATAAAATATTTTTATTTTAAATAAATATATATATATTTATATATAATATATATAAGGCAATATTTTAGTAATTTGATATTTTCCATGTGTAATGTCTACTCAGTTGCCAGTGTTAGGGTAGGGACGAACAGTTTGGTGAATAACATATTTTGTTCTCAATAAACCCATGTTAAACTTTCCATCTGTGTCAATTAATGGAACCTCCTAATTCCTCCAAGTTCAATTTTGTTAACAACCGGTCAGTACTTAATGACAGTTAGAAAAGGACTTTCAAAGCCAAGCAATGCTTCTTGCTTCATTCTTGATATAGCTAAGTGAGAGACAAGATGGTGGCAGTGGTTTAAGAAATAAGTTCTCTGTGTTGCATTTTCATGGAAAGTTACAATTGGTTCGGGTTGTAACCATCCGAGGTACACCACATCTCAGCTCATATTACGTTGTGTCTAAATTACCAGTGTTTCAATAACTAGGATCACCAAGTTTTACCTCAATAAAGCGCTACCAAGTGCAACCAGTATGAAGTGTTAGTAATAATCAGTATCCTCTAGGGTTAATATAATGCTACACTGCGGCAGGTGTGGGCCACAGTCCGCACCCAGCTCCCGGTGCAACAGGTGTGGGCCACAGTCCACACTCAGCTCCCGGTGCAACAGGTGTGGGCCACAGTCCGCACCCAGCTCCTGGTGCGACAGGTCTGGGGCCAGCGTCTCTCATGTGCTACAGAACAATATTCTCATCCCGCTCCCAGCTACAGTCTCCTCACTGTGCGTGGCTGTGAGAAGTGTGAGTGAGAACCACTGCGACACACTACACGTCTTACAGTAGTACACTTAAGCAACGCTGGGCCAAAAGTTGTGGCTGTGGCAGCAAGGAAGGAACTTATGCGACTGAAGCGCTTAATGAGACACTAGTGTTAGTGAGCAGCGTCAAGTGTTGGCAGGTTGCCTGTGATGGCAGGTTGCCAGTGTTGGCAGGTTGCCTGTGATGGCAGGTTGCCAGTGTTGGCAGGTTGCCGCCAGTGTTGGCAGGTTGCCAGTGATGGAAGAGGTGTTGCCATGGTAGACTGTCAGCTTCATGTTATCATCCTGGGGTCCGAGCGGGTCGAGGCCAGTGTGTGTGAGAGCGTCGTGGTCCTCTTGATTGCTCTCCCTCTCATTCCTCCACGCTTGTGTTAATACGGTGGGTGCACACGCTCCCTCACTCCTCCACCACGCTGGCACCTTCCCCTTCACATTGCCCTTGGTAAGCCCTACAGGACTATATTGTCCCTGGAACACACCCACCAGTAAGTTGACAACCACGTCCACAATTACTGCTGGGTGCACAGGGGCGAACACTTAAGGTTTGGTGCCCAGTTAATCTTCCCTGCGTCGCTTGGAATGTGTAGGTTTTGTATGTGTGTGTGTGTATTCACCTAGTTGTATCCACCTAGTTGTGTTTGAGGGGATTGAGCTTTGCTCTTTCGGCCCGCCTCTCAACTGTCAATCAACTGTTTACTAACTATTTTTTTTTCACACCACACACACACACCCCAGGAAGCAGCCCGTGACAGCTGACTAACTCCGAGGTACCTATTTACTGCTAGGTAACAGCGGCATTCAGGGTGAAAGAAACTTTGCCCATTTGTTTCTGCCTGGTGCGGGAATTGAACCCGCGCCACAGAATTACGAGTCCTGCGCGCTATCCACCAGGCCCTTGTGTGTGTATGTGTGTGTGTGTGTGTGTGTGTGTGTGTGTGTGTGTGTGTGTGTGTGTGTGTGTGTGTGTGTGTGTGTGTGTGTGTGTGTGTGTGTGTGTGTGTGTGTGTATAATATAATATAGAAGCATGGTATAATATCATCACTATGAACGCTTCACCAAAGTGCTCTTCACATAACTTGTAACAGACAAACACCTCCAATTACATTCGCTCCTCAACAATAATGTTATCACTTTCGTCAACAATAATAATGAGTGACTCACTAAGCACTCTTCATCCTCGTGTCTCCTGCTGACATATTAGGCTTAAAGCTCTAGGCATTTATGTGATTTGTTTCCTCTCCTGTGGCACCCATACTCTATTGGCACTCCTCGTGCTCGATGGTACCATGGTGCTTACCATGTGTGGCAACACTGACAGTCAGGGGTGTGGAACAGGTGTGTACACTTACCATGTGTGGCAACACTGACAGTCAGGGGTGTGGTACAGTTGTGTACACTTACAGTCAGGGGTGTGGTACAGGTGTGTACACTTACCATGTGTGGCAATACTGACAGTCAGGGTTGTGGTACAGTTGTGTACACTTACAGTCAGGGTTGTGGTACAGGTGTGTACACTTACCATGTGTGGCAACACTGACAGTCAGGGGTGTGGTACAGGTGTGTACACTTACTATGTGTGACAACACTGACAGTCAGGGGTGTGGTACAGGTGTGTACACTTACCATGTGTGGCAACACTGACAGTCAGGGTTGTGGTACAGTTGTGTACACTTACCATGTGTGGCAACACTGACAGTCAGGGTTGTGGTACAGTTGTGTACACTTACCATGTGTGGCAACACTGACAGTCAGGGTTGTGGTACAGGTGTGTACACTTACCATGTGTGGCAACACTGACAGTCAGGGGTGTGGTACAGGTGTGTACACTTACCATGTGTGACAACACTGACGCCGCCGGGATGCGGGTCACCTTCCGGTATTAAGAACGGTTGGGGTGCTAACCAGATGAGAGTTGGCTGAGAGAGGGCGTGGGGAGGGGGGGTGTCCTGTTGGTGAATAGGGTACAGGAAGTACCTCAGACGGGGTGTGAGAACCCGTACTCGTGGACGGGTCTGTCTCGTGTCCACCGTCCAGCCCACATACACCAAACTGGCAGTTATGTTTAACGTTAATCACTATTCCTTTTTTTCAGTTAAACTATCACTTATTCTTTCTACTTAAAGCTTATCCCATTTTATAACCCTAAACTCTGTTCCCGATGGTTGTTGTGGTGTGCTGAGCCTATTGGGCTCTATCATATCTACATTGGAATCTGTGTATGGAGTCAGCCTCCACCACATCACTGCCTAATGCATTCCATTTCTTAATTATTTACTCTGATTCTGAAAAAAAATCTAATATCTCTGTGTCTCATTTGGGTACTCAGCTTCCACCTGTGTCCCCTTGTGTGACACGCAGCCTTTCCTCATTTCTCATACCGCGTTGTTCTGGGACTAGTCTGGTGGCATACCTTTGAACCTTCTCCAGCTTCTTCCTGTGGTTAACAAGGTATGGACTCCTTGCTGGAGCCGCATACTCCAGGACTGGTCTGACATATGTGGTATACAAGGTTCTAAATCAAGCTATACCCAAATTTCTAAAGGCAGTTCTGATGTTAGCTAACTTCGCATATGCCGCCGATGATATCTTCATGATGGGGTCTTCAGGAGATAGGTTCGCCGTGATATCAACTGCAAGATCTTTCTTTCTGTTCGTCTCATGGAAGACTTCATCTCCCATTCAGTACCCTGTGTCTGGCCTCATGTTTTTAGCACCTAACTTCATTACTTTACATTTCTTGAGTTGAACTTTAGTAGCCATTTGTTGGACCATTCATTCAGTTTGTCTAGGTCATCTTGTAGCCTCACATTATCATCCTCTGTCTTAATCTTTCTCATAATTTTTGAATTATCAGCAAACATTGAATGGAACGAGTCTATTCCCTCTGGGAGATCATTTCCATATATCAGAAGCAGTATAGGTCCAAGAACTGATCCCTGCGGGGCTCCACTGGTGACGCCTCGCCACTCCGAGACCTCACCCCTCGCAGTCACTCGCTTAATTTCTGGCAAACCAAGAATGTGCAGGCTGCTTCCCTTCTCTTGTTTCCCTATATTTTGTCACGTGGTCAGATAATTCTTTTAAATCTGAGAGGAAAGATTTGCTATCCCTGAACCCATGCTGGTGTTGTGTTACAAAGTTGTTTCGCTTCAGAGGCTCTACTAGTTTTTCCTCACAATCTTCACCTCACAACTTGAATGGTATGCAAGTTAGAGACAAGCCTGTAATTCAGTACCTTCTGTCTATCCCCCTTCTTGTATATCGGGACTACATTAGCCATCTTCCAAATTTTGGCAGTTCTCCTGTTACGAGCAATTTGTTATATACCATCAAGAGTGGCAGGCACAGTGCTTCTGCTCCATTTTTTAGTATCCATGGTCAGATTTCGTCTGGATCAACAGCTTTTGCCACATCCATTCGAGCAAATGATTTCTTACCTCCCCACTTGAAATCTCAATCTCCACCAGTGGTACCTGGTTAGACATTCCCTATCTTTGTTCAGGAACTTCTCCTTGTTCTATTGTGAAGGCCTCCCGGAATTTCTTATTGAGTTCCTACACGCTTCCTTTTCACTTAAAGTGAACCTATCTGCTCCTCTCCATAGTATTGCCTGTTTCTTCACTGTTATTTTCTTCCTGATGTGACTGTGCAGTAATTAGAGTTAGGTTTTTGCTTTATTTGGTTTCATTTTCGTTGTCTTCCTGCCCTCCTTCTCACCCTCAGGTAGTCATTCCTGGCCCACTGGTATCTTTCTCTGGTCTCTGGTGTCCTGTTAGTTCTGTAGTTTCTCCATGACCTTGTACTTAGTTGCCTTGCCGGCTTTCATCCCTGAGTATACCAAGACTTCCTCATTTGCATCTCGATTTTTTTTGCCTTTGAACTGGGACCAGCTTGTTGGCTGGTGCAGCCTGTGTGTGTGTGTGTGTGTGTGTGTGTGTGTGTGTGTGTGTGTGTGTGTGTGTGTGTGTGTGTGTGTGTGTGTGTGTGTGTGTGTGTGTGTGTGTGTGTGTGTGTGTGTGTGTGTGTGTGTGTACTCACCTAGTTGTACTCACCTAGTTGTGCTTGCGGGGGTTGAGCTCTGGCTCTTTGGTCCCCCCTCTCAACCGTCAATTAACAGGTGTACAGATTCCTGAGCCTATTGGGCTCTATCATATCTACACTTGAAACTGTGTATGGAGTCAGCCTCCACCACATCACTTCCAAATGCATTCCATTTGTCAACCACTCTGACACTAAAAAAGTTCTTTCTAATATCTCTGTGGCTCATTTGGGCGCTCAGTTTCCACCTGTGTCCCCTTGTGCGTGTTCCCCTTGTGTTAAATAGCCTGTCTTTATCTACCCTATCAATTCCCTTGAGAATCTTGAATGTAGTGATCATGTCCCCCCTAACTCTTCTGTCTTCCAGTGAAGTGAGGTTCAATTCCCGCAGTCTCTCCTCGTAGCTCATACCTCTCAGCTTGGGTACTAGTCTGGTGGCAAATCTTTGAACCTTTTCCAGTTTAGTCTTATCCTTGACTAGATATGGACTCCATGCTGGGGCTGCATACTCCAGGATTGGCCTGACATATGTGGTATACAAAGTTCTGAATGATTCTTTACACAAATTTCTGAATGCCGTTCGTATGTTGGCCAGCCTGGCATATGCCGCTGATGTTATCCTCTTGATGTTGTGACATGTGTGTGTGTGTGTGTGTGTGTGTGTACTCACCTATTTGTACTTACGTATTTGTGCTTTCAGGATCGAGCATTGACTCTTGGATCCCGCCTTTCCAGCCATCGGTTGTTTACAGCAATGACTCCTGTCTCATTTCCCTATCATATCTAGCTTTAAAATTATGAGTAGAGTTTGCTTCCACAACCTGTTCCTGAAGTGCATTCCATTTTTCCACTACTCTTACGCTAAAAGAAAACTTCCTAACATCTCTGTGACTCATCTGAGTTTCCAGCTTCCACCCATGTCCCCTCGTTCTGTTACTATTACGTGTGAACATTTCATCTACTTTCACTTTGTCAATTCCCATGAGTATTTTATACGTTCCTATCATATCCCCCCTCTCCCTTTTTTTTTCTAATGTCGTAAGGTTCAGTTCCTTCAGGCGCTCATCATATCCCGTCCGTCGTAACTCTGGGACAAGCCTCGTCGCAAACTTTTGAGCCTTTTTGAGTTTCTTCAGGTGGGGACTGCATGATGGCACGGCATACTCTTAAGACTGGTCTCACGTAGGCAGTGTAAAGCGCCCTAAATGCCGCCTCACTTAGGTTTCTGGATGATGTTATAACTTTTGCCAGTGTAGAGTACGCTGCTGTCGTTATCCTCTTTATATGTGCCTCAGGAATTGGATTAGGTGTCACATCCACTCCCAGGTCTCTTTCTCGAGTCGTCACAGGTAGGCTGTTCCCCCTCATTGTGTATTGTCCCTTTGGTCTCCTATCACCTGATC